TGTTTCCTCTGTCTTCATTCTTTTTCTTCTTTCCATTCCTATTCTGTGAACATTTAGGAACGAGAGCCTTCCATTTCGAAGGGAGCTTCTGGAGACTTCGATGAAGAGGCGATGGATGAAACGTTCAGTATGAAGTGAGGTTACCTTCGTTGAAGCCATTCGTTTTTTCACTATATTTGAATGTTCTGCATTCATATAAGTTGTTTGAGAGAAGTCACCCTTTAAATCACGCGCAAAGAAAGCGTTCTTGAGATTATAATAAGGGAACTCAAACACAAGCGTCCACGTATGCCTTAATTTGCTTTTATATTAATATGTAGAATAATTTCTGGATGTGCGGCCCCCGTCAACACTTATTTGCTGATTTATTGCTGAATTCATTTGCCAGTAGCTACTCATTTCTCCAATTTAGATTCGTCGACAAGCAAACTATTCTTGACAAGGAGCTTGATGATGTAATGGAGCAGATAAGAAATAAAGAAGAACTACTTCAGAAGGCTATAGAAAGCCAGAAGAATGTCGACGAATTGATGAAACAGCACAGGGTAAATCAATCATCTATAATTTACTCATTTCAAAGGCACAATATGAAGCTTTTCCAGCAAGAAATGACTAGCCTCCAGCAGCGTATCGATGCTTTAATGGCTGAAAAGGCGAAATTAGAAGCCGATCTGAGGAAAATTTCTGTCAACAATAAGTGAGCCTTTTGCAGCGATTATCTATATCTGCAGTCTGCTTCAATTGGTTCTTCTGTTGCCAATTGCATAAATTCGCAATATTGGTTAGGCTGGCTGAGGAGCGAAGAAGAAAATTATTGGAGATGGAGAAACAACTGGCTCAGTTTAAGAAGCAGATGAATGAATTGAAACGGTTAGAAAAACAAAAACAGCAAAGCGAAGAAATACAAAAGCGAATGCAGGCTGAAATTGCTACCCTGAAGCAGGTGATTTCTGATACCCGTACATTTGTCATGTTTTCTTATAAACACTCGGAGTATAACAACTCCCTCCAGGCGAAAGTGCGAATGGTAAAGCAGCAAAGGGAAGAAGCAGAGAAATATCGTCAGTGGAAGCTGAAACATGACAAAGAGTTGATCCAAGTCAAACAAAAGGTTGCTACTTTTCACAATCAGTTTACAAATTGCCCTTTTTTATTTTGTCGTTGCTTCAGGAACGCAAGAGAGATTTCGAAGCAGCTCGTGAGAAAAGAGCACATGATCAGCAGATGCTGGTATGCAAGCAAAAGTTGGAGGAGGCCAAGAACGTTAATAAGCGTCTGCTAGCTCAAATGGAGCGAAGTGCAGCGTTTGCTCGTGAGAAGCCAGGCACTGAGAAATCTTTGGATCAAGCTAAGGTTGTGTTTTTGAGGGCTGTAGCGATCACAATGCTGTGAAAGCATAGCACTTTGTCAGCTGTGAAGTTTTGCGAAAACTTGTTATTGTTCAGCGATTCATCGAATCCGAATTGTCGCTTATTGGAAGTTCGTACGAGGCAGAGCAGATGTGTCAGTCATTGAAAGACCAGAGAAGACAGCTTGGGCGAAAGAAATCGCGTCTACTTATTCAAAAGGAATGTTTTGTTTCGCCAGATGAGCCACTCAAGAAGGTGAGCATCGAAGTGGGTCTTGATCCGGGATACTTCTGATGTATTTTGTTTAAGCGGCGGTCTACAGAGGAAGGGTCTGTTCTGTCCAGCGAAGATAGCGAAGCGCTAAGAAAAATAGATGAAGAAATAGAAAAGATTGACCACCAACAGATGCTGTGGTAGGTGGTTTGGTTTAAGACGAATATTTGTCTATCGTTTGACTATTACAAAAGTATTTTTCGTTGGAACCTTACTTAGTGGAACTGAGCATCGTTTGCCTCCTTACCTTTCCTTTTTTAGCGGCGATGAGCTGAATAAGCTTCAGCGAGGTTGTGGTTCCATAGATGTGGACAGCAGGGCTGAGTCGCGATGGAAGGATCTTCTAACTCTCGCTTCTGCTCGTGTCTACCTGAAAGCATTGTTTGATCAGGTGACATTTAGTTCTAGCATACCCCGCTCATTAAGAAACGGATTTCTTCCGAAATTTTTGTTCACACTTTTTGCGTTTTACCTGGAGGACCTTCTTTATTCGCGCTGTTTACTATGCGATTATGCAAGCTTTCATTCTTTCTTCTATTTACCAACCGGAAATGCAACGCACTCCGAATGTGTTTAGAGAAGAAACAAAATTCTCAGAGAACAACGCAGTTGTTATTCCGATGTCTTGTCTTGCGTATAAGTGAATTGTTTATCCTTCCATTTTTTCAAACGTTTTCTTATCCTCCTGATTTTTGTTTTTCTCTGAGCATCTTCGAGTGGGTTGCATTTCTAATTACACGTAAGTCGATAAGCGACGCCGATCGCCACTGCATCATCCACCCACGCTCAAATGAATTTATGCGAAAAATTATTATAAGTGAAGGCATTTAAACTAATGGGCAGAAAATGACGAGCCACCTGGGACGCAGGGTCGGTCCTATCGTTGCTTCTTTTCGAAATTTTTTTTACGACCCCCCTCCCCGAAGGTGGATTTGATACGACCCCCTTTTCCTACCTCCACCATCTCCATCTTCCATCAAACCCGCCCACTTTTTCCTCTAAAAATGCCGTCGAGGGGGGGGTATATACGCCCGCTGAAACAGCAAACGACCCCCCCCCCCCGTTGCTACTTGTAGCAACATTGGGTTGACCCTGCCTGGGACCGCTTGCCATGTTTTTTTACTTCTTCTCTCTTGATTTTCTTTATAATTAGACGTATTAACCAGGCTGTAAACGAACGGAGGACAACTATCGATCTGGATCTATCTCTGAAGCGGCTTCAAAACAAAATCAAAGATTTGGAAAGCGGTGCACGTGAGAAGAAGGTCAAGACTTGATAATTCGCTCCATGCTCTTTAGAACTGTAATAAGTAGGTGAAGAATGTCTTAAGATTATTTTTCAGAAGGAGCATGACGACGAGCTAACGGCCTTGAAGGAGAAAACATCGGAAGCTCACAATGGATTACGAGAACCAAATAGCCCATGCAGAAATGCAGGTAGAAGTTTGCTTTAGCAGTTCTTTTGAAATATTCGACAAATTTTTCTGTGTTCAGTGGTTATGGATGTACCAGGTTGAGTCATAAGTAATTGCCCGATTTGCTCATACCCGCGCCATCTTTCCCAAACGATGTTTGTGTTGTTCCCGCAAAGGAGTATGTGGCGACCTTATTACTTTCATATTACAAAATTCGACCGTAAGTACTCGTCTTTAGGGAGAAATAATGCCATTCATTTCTCAACACATGTTCTTCACTGTCTATATTTCGAGCTCCGTCTGGGGCCTCGTCAAGGCGAATACGTCAAGGTGACTACGGCCCTGAAGGCCAACCACGTTTCGGACACTCAATGACCGTAGATATTGAACGCATGCAAGAGCTTCTTGAAGGCAACCCGGCATCAGTGACCGTCAAACTGCAGTAGACCTTCAGTCCTCCCAGTGCACCATGTGTCGTTCCCTCTGAGCCATGGAGAAATTGTACACGCTGGGAAGATGGAATTCTCACGAGTTGGACGAGGTGGCTCGAAGGACACATGTGATCATCTCCCGAAACTTGCTGTCTAAAAGTCGTAGTTTCGATCGGCTTGACAAGGGTCACTAGGGTTAAGCAGTCTACTCAAGCAACATACGGAGGCATCAGTGGGAACGTGCAGCTCAGCAGCGACAACGAGCCCCAATAGGTGAACTTCACCCGGAGTAGGTTCCGCTCTCCGATTGTAGGATTGCTTCATCACAGACTTCAAACAATACCACCACTGCTGGCGCAGACACCTACTGCTTACAGCTGGATAAACTTGCTTCGGATATCGCAAGGTTGAGGCGTTCCTACACATGAAATCTGCGCGGCAGCTCGCAACCCACAAACGAGGAATGCCAGAATACTATACAGAAACTTGGCTTCATGATTTTCCCCCTCTCTCTTAATCCACTGAGGTATAGCAACCAAGCACCAGTTGCTCCGCTTGCTTGCTCGTTTCCTTAACGAGAAAAACTACGAAGATCGCGAACACCTCAAAACAGACATCCACTGATTCTTGACGTCGAAGATTGCTTAGTTTTGTGAGAGAGGTATCCATTCACTTGCGGATAGATAGAGGACACTTGTAGACAGCTGTGGTAAATATGGCACTTAATCCAAGGTGGTTCAAAAGAAAGTTGTGAACTTTTGAAAATTTTTGTCAAATTTGCACTTATTTGTGACTCAACCTAACACTTTGAAAGTGGGCAGGGTGAATACAGCCTTCAAGAACACTTACCTTGTTGTTGGAAGCTTTTTTTCAGTACATGAACTTAGTGACTTTGGTGAGCACTTCTAAAGTAGTTGATAGTGGCGTC